CCTCAACCTCCAGGGCACAAGCAATCCTCCTGCCTCAGCCTCCGAGTAGCTGGGGAATACAGGCATATACCACCATCATCATATTTTCTTTTCATTTTCATTCTTTGTCTTTTTCTGCTTTTTGGGAAACTTCCTCGATTTATCTTGTAGCTCCCTAGGAAGACTTTTTTTGTATTGTATTCCATTCTTGTCTTGTGGGTCCAGTATCTTATTTTATCTCTCTTACGTTAATTATAGGATTTTTCTTTCAAGAGTTCTTCTCTGTGAGTGGTCTGTATTTGATCCGGAGTTCCTTCTTTTTGTTTAATTGACTGGTTTGATCTGTGTCTTTAATGTTAGGGGCTCCTTGCTGTCTGGGGATTCCTGGTTGCCTGTTTATTTTAAAAGTGGGGGACTAACAACTTTGAGCTGGAAGGGATTTGAGGGAGCAAAAGTAGACATATGTCCCTACCATCTTAGCCAAGTCATACAGCCTTTTGTTTCTCTCATTTATTTCATGTTAAAAAGTGGGAAAAAAAAATCCATAGTCCACACCCTGAAAAATAAATCAGCAACTGTAATAGCTACCCTTGAGCCCAAAGAAAATTATATCTTTCCCTCCTCAGCCCTCAAAGAAGAACATGGAACTATCCCCCCCCCCAATTTTCTATTGCAAAAAATAGCACGAGATTAGTACGTGAAATTTGTGACATGTGTAAACTGCTCTAAAATTGTGAATAGGTTTAGAAACCTTTTCTCCCTCCTCTCTACTCCCACAGTCCTGAATCACCAGCCCAGCCTTCTGGCTCATCACTTCCTGCTTGGTGAGTTGCATGCATGTCTTATCTCCATGACGATGCTCCAAGCCACCAGAGAGCAGGGTGCATGTCCAATTCATCTCAGCGTCTTCTGTAGCCCACATCACGGAAGGCTGACAAACAGCGAAGGGCATTCTCAAGACCTTCATGTCCTCTCCTTAGCACACACAGTTAGCCCCCACAGGAGTTTATGTGGTGAATGAAAAAAGAAACCCACAAGAACATAATTGAGATGTAATTCCATTCTGATCTCTAATCTCTTTACCTTTGCATCCTCCCACGTATGAATAGGATGGTCCATGATCCTGAGGGCAGTCAAACAGCCAGGGAGCACCAGTTTAATCCTCAGGGTTTGCAGGGAAAGCAAGGCTGTGGAGACCCAACTGCACAGCAAAACCAGTGATGTACGCAGAGGACAGGCTACAAATTAAATCCGAACTTCATGGTTCGGTGTTCAAGGCTCTCCTTTGCCGCTCCTTGGACATCTGCAAGGCTTCTAGCAGCTCTACCTCTCTGGGGCCTGACCTTTAGTCAGTCTTGCATGTAGAAGAATCATTTTCAGATACCAAGTGTCTCATGTCCTTTCTTTGTCCAAGAACTTACAGCTGATTTTTTTGTTTTGTTTTGTTTTTTGAGACAGAGTCTCACTCCGTCACCAGGCACCAGGCTGGCGTGCAGTGGCGTGATTTCGGCTTACTGCAACCTCCGCCTCCTGGGTTCAAGCAATTCTCCTGCCTCAGCCTCCCGAGTAGCTGGGACTACAGGCGTGCACCACCACACCCAGCTGATTTTTTGTATTTTTTAGTAGAGACGTGGTTTCACCATGTTGGTCTGGATGGTCTTGATCTCTTGACTTCGTGATCTGCCCACCTCAGCCTCCCAAAGTGCTGGGATTACAGGGCTGAGCCACTGTGCCCGGCCGCAGCTGATTTCTTTTGGATCTGTTTCAAATAGTTCTCCAGCCTAAACTTCAGGACATCCTCATGAATGCCTCACCACTCCACTGCACATGTAAATCCATGCCTCTGTATTTTTCCGTCTATTGTTTCTCAGACTGATAACACCCGCGCCCTCTCAGCAACAATAATTGCTGAGGTTTAGTGAGCACTTACTTTGGGCCAGGCACTGTGCTGGTATTGCTTGTGGGTTATTTTACTAAATCCTCTCATCAGCAGATGAGGAAATTGAGTGACAGAGAGGGTATGTCACTTGCCCACAGCCATGGAGCTACTTAACTTTGGAGCTGGAGCTCCAAGCCAGGCAAACCCAGCCCGGCCAGCCCAGGCTCCCTGGCTCAGCTCAACTCCTCACTGCTAAACTGCCTCAACCCAAGACTTATCTTTCAGGAAATATTTTTTGGAAGAACTGAGGACCCTGGCTGTGACTCTGCAACATCTATGTGTTGCCGGCTTGTGGCGTGGAGCTGCCTTTACGCCTTCCTCCTTCTGTGTCCCCTTTCTCAGTCACTTTGTCTTGCTGCTTTTGAGAAGCTGAAGTCTGATTTTTCACCACTGCCTCAGCACAGGGCCTGAGTGTCACGGTCTGCCGCCATTCCTCCAGCCAGAGAGCAGCCTGCTGGGAGGGGAGGGGTTGCATTGGCCTGAGGGCCTAGCAGGGCAGAGCGAGCAGGACAAGGAGACAGCTGCCTGTCCAAGGCCACAGCAGAACTGGGAGGGCACCCATGCCCCGGGTCACGGTCAGGGGTAGATGCAATCCTGGGAATCAGACTTGGGAGCCACTAGCCTGTGCTAGCCAGGAGGGCAAAGGCAGGCCCAGCCCGGGGACATGAGGCCCAGGCAGCCAGCCAGGGGTCCTCAGGGTAGTAACAGAGCACCCCTGAGGGGAAAGGGTAGATGGAGAGGGCAGGCAAGGCCATCTCATCAGCAGAACTTTGGGGAGGGGGTATCTTCTCTTCAGATGTCCCCAAAAGTACCAGGCACCCATGTCCTTGTGCAGATAGCTATAAAAAGGCTAATGCTGTGCCCCCCACCCCGCCCCTGGTACCCAGTTGCTGGCCAAGAACTCAAATGAGGCTGGAGAGCCCACCACTGCTGTGCTCACGGGGATCTGCTAGGGCTGGGCTCGGGTGGATGAGAAAGGCTATGGCCCGCGTCTCTGTCCCAGCTTTGCACACCTGTTTCTTGCCTGGTCACCCCACCTCTGTGTCCTGTCTCTTCAAATACCCTGCTCGCCACCCGCAGACCATTCTTCCTGGCAAGCTGTGTCATCTTGTCATTCCTGTGCTCAAGAACCCAGAATCTCTTCTAAGGCCTCTAAGACAAAATCCAAGCTTCTTATCCCAGAGTTCCAGCCCTACCTAAATCTGACCCCTGGTCTCTGAAGCCCCCTGGTCGCCTGCCACTGGAACCCAAGTGCTCTCCTCTCACTGAAACTTCCTCATTATTCCCAAGATACATGCCAGTAGCTCTTGCCTGTTTGATGTTGAGTGGAACAGTGAAAGGAGCATGGGCTATGCTTCCTGTGTGTCCTCGGGCAAGTCACCCAGTGTCTCTGTGACTCCTGCTGCTTACCTGGGAAATACTTAAAAGGCTGTTTTGAGAATTAGAATGTTTGCTTACAAAGTGCCAGGCACACAGTAGGTGCTCAATACACGCACAGTACCCACCATGCCATGCTCTGGGTGCCCCTGACCTGACGGCCTGCCTCGTTTCTGACTGGCTGAGTTCCTGCCTCCTACCAGGCCCCTCTCTAGATGCACCTTCACATGCAGCCTGCCCCGCGTGCCTCACTGAGCGTGGCAAGGGAAGGAAAAGCAGCATTTGCCTATCCCTCGCTGGGCACAGACCCTGTGGGGGCGTGGAGATCCCTGATGGTGGTGGCGAATCCTCCCAGGGGGCCTCCTTGTGCTAGGCCTGCCCCGGCCCGTTGTGTGCACTAACTCACAGAAGTCCTGATGGAAACTCATGTCCATAGATGAAGGTTCCTAAATGGCTTTCTGCTCTGTCCAGCCTAGTTGATGTGGTCTCCCGGGCCCTTTGGTCTTAGCTTCCCCATCCAGCGGCCTCCAAGTGGCTAAGAGGAGATTTTATCTAGAAGTGAAACCCTGCAGTCTAAAATGCAGAGTCTCCTGTGTGTTGTTCAGGCCAATCCCGTTAGAGAAGGGTTTGAAAGAGAACCACCTTCACCAGCCCTGCCACCCAGCCTGCAGCCGGCTCCCTTGCTGCACTTCATATCAAGCCTTGGGATTTCATTAGGGTTCTCTGCCCAGAGCACCCATTCCTCTGGGCCTGCCTGGAAAATGCAAGCCTTGCTCCTCTGTGGCACCTCTGTGGTCCCACCGTCTCCAATGGACGCTCATATGTGTGGGTCAAGGTCATTGCCCTCTGCCTCCATCCCCAGGGCACCTTGTCCGGCCCCTGATTGCACCCTCTGCAGATGTCTGCCTCCTCGGCAAACCCCTCCCCTGGGCTGAGTCCCTGAGGGCAGGGGCTGTGTGGTGTTCATGTCTGTATTTCAGTACTTGGCACAGAGCCTGGCACGCAGCAGGCCCTGGTGTTAGGGATGAAGGGAGGGAGGAAGGGGACGGGGTGGAATAGGCATCGGGGCAGAGGGAACGGTGGTCATGTTTCTGGTTGGTTCCTCCCAAGGTGGGGCAGTCACAGGCCCCTGCCTGACTCAGAAAGGGAGGCCTCTGTGGACACCCTGGAGTTCCCCTCCCCGAGAGCCCCAGCCACGCAGCTCCCTCCAGACCCCCGGGAGATGCCAGTCTTTGAGACGCATCAACTTTCTTAAAGAAAATCGCTGAATATGCTCGGTAATTTTTTTTGACATTTTCCCTGTTCAGGAGCTTGTGATTTCAGATTAATCACATCCACATACATTTAGACTGTCGGCTTGGAAGGGAAAATTGGAATTTTATTACTGCATGATTTCATCCAAAGCTATCTTACCAACACTAAAAGGTTGTCTACAATGAGGTGCAAATCACGACAAAACATTTTGCCTCTGGGACCAAGCTCACGGCAGGAGGCCAAGGGGACCGGCGGGGTGGTGGGTGGGGTCTGCAGGGGGGCCTGGTGGGCACAGTCGAAGCCCCTTCAGTGGCCTAAAGAGACCTGTGCGAGCCACCCTCACTGCTGCTTCTTCCTCAGCAAAATATCTCATTTCCGTCCTCTCTCTAGGTCTCCCACGGCCATTCCGGGAATGGCTGTTCATGACTAACTCCTGTCTTCCCCTTGGCAGGTACCATGACCAGCAGGATGTAACTAGTAACTTTCTGGGCGCCATGTGGCTCATCTCCATCACATTCCTTTCCATTGGTTATGGAGACATGGTGCCCCACACATACTGTGGGAAAGGTGTCTGTCTCCTCACTGGCATCATGGTGAGTACTCTCCTCTGCCCATCCCCCTACCCCCAAAATGTGGCGAAGAGCAGAACGCCTTCTTGCAAGCACAGGGGGGCCTTCCCAGCCACAGCGTGGGGGGCAGCTGTTAGTTAACAGACCTGCATGCGTGTCCCCGACACATTAAAAGGCAGGTGGGAAATCCGCAATGGTTTCTCACTTTTCAGTTGACTTTTCTAAGGTAAGAATGGGTTCCTGGCAGCTAATGGTCTGTTCACAGCTCCCTCAAAATGGGCTGGGTGACGCTGGTCCTGGTCCGGTGCTCTGCTGCCCGCCCCACTGCTGCGCAGCCGCCCAGGTTGCTCACCTCCAGTGAGTATTGGGGCTTGCAGTTTATGGTCCTCCCTTCTGTTCGCTCGGCCCCACTGACCTTGGTACCATTTCTGATCATGTTTAGCTGGAACTCACAGAAGCCCGGTCTGGGGAAAGAGCAGCTAGTCGGCCTTCAGGACCTGTGTCCTGGACAGGGCTGTCCACACGGCCCTGGGCCTGCTCCTGCCTTTTCAGTCTTCTGCTTCCGCCTCAGCCTTTGGAGGGGCTGGGTTCTGAGTGCCAGGTGCTTTGCGGTGCTGGCATGTGGTGAGGCTGTGATCCTGTGATCCCATCCCCAGGTGCCCAGCGGGTGTGCCGTGCCCTTTCCAGGTGTATCTCTCCTGCCCAGTGCCCTGCTACCCACACTCAACACACACTCGCAGAGGAGGCACACATTCCCGCCTGTCACATGGCCATTGCGGTGTGGCGTATGGGAGGGACGTGGGGTCTGAGTTTCTGCTCGCTGTGGACCCTGGGCGAGGCACTCTGCCTGTCGGACCTGAGCATCCTCCAGGGTGAAGTGGAGATGGATGGCCCGCCCCGCCCTCCCCACAGGTTTGTGCAAGGACCAAATGCAATGATTTATGTGAAAGTGATTTGAAAACCAAAAGTAGCCACACAAAGGTCAGTGTGGGTGGCGTGCTCAGTGTCCTTCGGTTGCAAGTTGGTGAAGTGTTCCCTTGGCCTTGTCGCACTTGGGGTCCAGGACAGGCAGCTGCTGCTCTTTGGCCTTCGTCCTGGAATCCTAGAGCAGTGTCACAGCAGGGCTGGATACTCTTTTCAGAGGAGGAGACTGAGGCTGAGAGAGGAAAGCACAGCTAAGCCTGGCGATGGTGGGAGGTGGGCCGGCCGTCTGTGCGGTGGCTCTGCATCTCTGTGGCTGGAGACTGCAGCTCTCCCCAGGACACACCCCTCCGCAGCCCCTCACATCTTTGTGAAAACCCTTCCTTGCAGTGATCCCTTAGATTCCACTTGTCACCCCCATTGCTCCCAGGAGGGATGAAGACCCTCTTTCTGGAAGGGCAGTGACCCCTTTCTGCAGTGGAAAGGGAGGGCCCAGCTCTTCCTGCAGGGTCTGTGTGAATGCCTCACTGGCACTGGGGGCTGCCCCCCACTCCTCTCTGGCTCATTGGCTTCCTGGGGCTGATCGGGTGGACCAGACGGTCAGACTCAGCTGATGGGAGCAGAGCAGGCCCTGGGGCCAGTGGCCTACTGAGCAGCAGGCGCCAGGCCCTCTCCTCCTTTCTGACTCCAGTCCAGGGCAGGTTCCTATTAGCAGGCAGGTCCCAAGACGGCAGCTAATGACAGAAAGCTTAGCGCTGGGGCGGTGATAAATCATGGGTAAGTGCAAGGCTTTAGAACAAACACCTCCCATCGGTTAGTAGGAGTCTGTCTGGCACAGCACCAACTGTCACGAGGAAACCAGGGAAAGACGCTTCTTACCAGAGAGAAATGAAATGCCACCAAAGGCCAAGGCCTTCCTTCTTAGAGCCACTCCTGGGGCGTGGGCTCTGTGCCTCAGAACCAGCTCTCAGCCAGGGCCGGCACAGAGCCGGGTGGCCAATAGGTGGCTGGGGCCTACGGGGAGCCTCTGTTATTTTAAAATACCAGCCTTTCTCCCTCTCAGCACGTAGCGGTGCCCCATCCAAGAAGTGGCCCCCTAAGGACCCCTGGATCCTGGACTCCGCATCTCCTGGCCCTACTCTGGCACAGCTGAGCAGAACATGCGAGACCCCTGCCCCACCTACCGCTGCCTCTCTTTAGGGGTCTGGGGGGCTGCTTGTCTTTCTGCACCCCCTTTGGCTGCCTGGATCTACAGCGCTCCCCCGAAGGGCGTGTTCTGTTCCCTATGGATTGAGGTGTGATCAAAGTGAAAAGAACAAACGGACGAGAAGGAGCCGGCCCCCACCTTCACCTTCCATATGAAAAATACAGCCCAGGCCTTTTATCTCCCCTTTTGTGCAAAACCCTGCGCATAAATATGTACCTTTCTATAGATGGGAATGGGCAGGTTTCCGCTGTTCGTTGTCAGTGTTTCTCACCCAAATTAAAGTCAGTCGCCTCACTCTGGGGTCAGCCACATTGAGGAACCCCGGTGGCGTTTTCCTAGCAAATGTGATTTTTCTAGCTGAGTCACTCCTAGCCAGGGAGGATCCTTTCCCCTCCTCCTCCCAACCTCCAACACTATGTATAGCTCCCAATTATTATTGCAAGCGCCTTTACTAAAGGTAGGGCTTCCTGTTTGGTTACCATGGACACCACGAAGGCCAAGGCAAGGCCCGCTTGGGAAGGAAAAGGAAGGATCTGTGTGTGTGCATGGCCTGTAAATAGTCTTAATCATTGTTTTCTCTTGGCAAATCCCAGTAACAATGTAATTATCCACCATTAAGCAGGGTGTATAACTGTCTGAACGACTTGCCATGGCTGGCACAGACCTGGTGTGTTTGAGAGGTTTCACCCCCAAAAGCGGCTCCTTCAAAGTCCAGCATCTTTCTTTCCATAAGGATTTTTTTCATGATCGCAGTGACAACACAGTAGAGAGAAAGCTGTCAATATTTAGTATCCAGAACTGGAAATGACAGTGTAACTTAAAAGATGTGCAGTGCTGACCTGCGGGTTCTGCGGCCGTCTGGGAGCCCCTGGAGCCCCCAAGTCCGCTTGGCATGACTTGGTTTCAATCTGGCCTCTTTCTAAAGCTAGACTCGCTCTGTGGACCCTTGGTGAGTTATGGCCAAACAGGCAAAAGCTTCCGGATGTCTGCTGGGACACTGAGCTTTTCCCCAATGACCTCATGACAGAGGCCTCTGAATGGCAAAGGGAAAGTGATGGTGAAGTGAAAGGTGGCACAAATTGAGTCATTTTGGGAGGAGGCAGAAAGAGGGCTCAGCAAGACATCTGCTTAATGTCAGTTTTAGAAGATGAGCCTCTCCCGAAACACCTTACTTTCCAACCAATTGATGTTATTTTCGTTGTTGCAGAAACAGAATCCAACTGTAAATCCTCCAGGCTTCCCTCCTCCATTTGTCACTTTCGTTTGTGTTTTATTTTATTTTATGCTTCTTTAGTTAAGAACACCTCATACTTTTCCCCTTGGGATGCTTGTTTTTCCAGCTTCTAAGGTTTTCCAGCTGGAAAATGTTTCTTGAAAACAAGAGGTAGGAGGACTGGTGTGGAGGAGTCTCGGTCCAGATTTGGGTCCGAATCTCTAGAGCTGGGCGTGTTCACCCCGTCCCAGCCGCCCTCCCTCTGTGCACCTCCTGGTCTCTGCTCGCCCACCTGCCTTGGGAGGTTCCGCCTCATCAGAAGTGGACCCCATCCCCTCCCCTTGCCCCACGGAACTGGAAGTTGGATAGAGCAGATCCAAGGACTCCAGCTGGTGTGCCCTGTGGTTCAGGACTTGGCATATCTGAAAGCAAAAGGCTGAGTCATGGACCTTCCCCCCAGTCTGACCCCGGGGAAGTCATAGCAGCAGCTGCTGACCGTTCCCATGCTGCTCCCTCCCTCCTCACACTCCCTCTCTGCCCACCAGACATTTCTAAGATTCCACCATTAGCCTGGCCCTGGGCGATTTTTCTCTTAAAACTAACCTGCATCACTGCCAGCTGACACAGCACTGCCAGGCTGCCCCCGTGGCCTGCCAGACTATTAACTCACCTCAGTGAAAGGACCCAGCATCCCAAAGGGGACCCAGGGGACAGCCGATCCTTATACCACTTGAAGATGGACACAGCAAGGCGGAGTTCCATGGCACTTCCTTCATGTCCTCTAAAGAGCCAAAATGGACCCTTAACTTCTGGCTCAAGCCTTAGGCTCCTCATTCTTCCTTCCTCTCTCAATCCCAGCAGCCCGTCATTTTTTCTTATTCCTCAACTTCCTCCTTGTCTCTTTCCCTTCCCACCCTTGCTGTTTGGGGTGCAACACACTTTATTCCCCATCTCTTTCTCTGCCCAGCTTGACCTGTCCCTGCACCCACCTCCCT